CCGCAGAGGTCCCGCCACTACTCCGCCTCCGAGGCCGGCCTGGCGTTCGCCGGCGCGCCCCAGCCCTCCGCCAGGCCCTTCTCTGCCCACTCCCCCACGCCGGGGGGCTCCCCCAAGTTCTCCCTGCTGCCCGCGAGCCCCAAGAGCAGGCTGGAGGGCATGCTGCAGCAGTACAAGGACAGCGCCGGCCACGACCTCTACCCCCAGCACCAAAGCAACCAAAGCCAGTTCCAGCTGCCTCCCCTCCCCCCCTTCCCTCCCAGCTCGCCTGTGCCGGAGCGGCGGAACGGGCAGCAGGCGTCGGCGGCCAGCCCCGGCCCTGGCGGCTCGGGGCTCCTGGGCCTCCCCGCGGGGCAGCTGCTCCAGCAGCACCAGCACCACGCCGCCTCTTTCCCCGCCAGCAGCCTGCTGTCGGCCGCCGCCAAGGCCCAGCTGGCCAGCCAGAAGAGCCAGGGCCACGCCTACAGCCAGGGCCGAGAGGCCCCGCCCAAGGTACCCATCAGCACTTTACAGAGCCGCCCGCCTGCCAGCAGGTCCCCCGGCGCCCTGCTGGTCCCCCTCGCCCCGCGGACCCCTCCGGCACCTCCCGACAAGTCTTCCAGGCACAAGCGGCAGCGGAGGTCGCCCACGGTCCTCAGCATGCTCAAGGAGTCCCACCTGAACAGCCTCCGAGCCGGGGCCGAGCTGCCTCCCTCGCCTGCAGAGAGGGGCCCCCCTCATCTCCACCCGCCGCCCCCCCCCGCCTCGGAGAACCACCTTCACCACCCGGCGCAGGCCCCGCCCGCCCAGGCCGCTCCCTTCTCCGCCTTCCCCAGGCTGCCGGAGGCCCAGGACCCCCAGAGGAGGAGCGGGACCCTGGGCGCGGCCGCCCCCCAGCCCCTCTCTGCCCTCCTCCATCTGCTCAGCGTCCAGAGCACCCAAGCGGCCTCCCAGCCTCCGAGCGGCACTGCCGCCTGCGGCCCCGCTCTGTCCCGCACCCCTCCTGCGCCTGCTGGCTTCGGGTCCGGACCGGCCCACTCCCAGAGCCAAGCTGCGTGGCCTGCCCCGGCCACCTGCCAGAGCCATTCCCAGCATGCCTCCCAGCTGCACGGCCAGAGCTACCATCATCCCCAATCCCAATCCCAATCCCAGCCCGTGATGCCTGGATTGGACAGGTCCTCCCCCTCCCCCTCCGCGCAGGCCTTAACTCTGATGAGCATCGGAGTGAGCGACTGCGGAAGCCTGGGTTTGTCCCAGGGGGAAGCGGCGAACGTCGGCTCCAATCCCAACGCCCTCCCCGGCCAGAATCCCCTCTTCACCCTCCACCCCAACCCCGGCGGGGGGCCGGACGTCGGCAGCCAGCTGCTGGGCCTGTTGGGACACCCCTCTTCGTCCTCCGCGGCGCCCGCGGGGGGACCCTGCTCAGGGACCGGCGGGTCAGTGCCCAGGATGGGGGCGGGCGAGGCTCTGCCCGCGGGAGCCAGCACGAACGGGGCAGGTGAGGGCACCAGAGCTCGGGACGTCTGTGCGGGAGTGTTTTCTTGTTTGCGTGTGATCGGCTGTTTCTCCGTTCCGCGCTGAGTTGACTAGGGTTCCTTGATTGTGCCCCCCGTCCCTGTGTGTGCACGTCGGGCCGCGTCCTGCCCTTATCTGCAGGGTTAGGCTGCGGTCACCAAAACCATGAATTGGACTAAGCAGTTGTTGAAAGTGAACAAGTAGATCTACACTACTCTGCAGTTACTGTGCTTCTTCACAAGAGTCAAGGTGTTAGCTGTGACGCACAGCACGTCCTAGCTACCTGGTCACAACCCTCAAGCCCTGTCTTTCTGTTTGTTTCATCACAACAGGGGGACAGACTGTACAGGCCTCTCAAGGCTCCCCCGGGATCAAGACCCCCCCAGCCTCCAGCCCAGGGCCAGGCCTGCTGCCCCTGGCGGAGTCCTTCCCCTTCATGAGCCAGGAGCAGCTCCTGCAGCTGCTGTCGGCCAGCTCCGGGCTGCCCTCGTTGCTGGGCCCGCCCTTCCTGGGGTCCTTGCCTCTTAGCCTGTGGATGAGCGGCGGCGGGCAGCAGACCCAGCAGCAGCCACAGCAGCAGCAGCAGCAGCAGCAGCCACAGCAGGGCCTGCTAAACCAGAGCTCCCAGTTGAACTTGCTGCCCTCCATGCTGGGACCTCAGGGGGAGGTGCCGCTCGGTTTGCTGGGCCTGCTGAATCCCCCGCCCGCTCCTGGCGAGCAGGGGGACAAGCTGGGACCCCAGGCTCTGCTCACCGCTTCCCTGCTGCTCGGCCAGCACCAGGCCGCCATGCTTCCTCTGGCGGGATTGGGCAACCTCAACCTGGAGCTGCTCCTCCAGCAGCAGCAGCTGCCGCCCCTGCAGGACGGCCCCGGCGCGGCCCAGCCCCAGCCCGTGGAGAAAGCCCCCGTCCTGGAGGCCCTGCTGTCCGGCGCCGCCCCCGTGGAGGGGCTCCAGGGCTTGTCTCCCGCCGAAGGCCCCCTGCAGGCCCTGCAGTCTCTGCTGCTCCCCACGCCCCCGCTGGCCCCTGCCTTCCTCTCCCTCAGCCCTGCCCTGCTGGCGGCGGCCCTGGGTGCGGCCGACGCCCAGGCCCTGCCTCCGCACACTCAGGTACGCCGCCTGGCCGCGCACCTCTTCCTTCTGCCCGCGGCACAGAACCCACCGCCGTCTGGCACTTTTTAGAGAAAGAATGTGTTTTGCTTGTCTTGCACCCTGGAGCTTGGAGGTCTAAAACCCCTTTCAGAAGACGTAACTGGCTCTGGAGCCTTGCAGAGCTTCTTGCTTCGTCCAGATGTGCGTCTGTGCGTCAGAATTGCTAGACCCCAGAAGGGTCTAGCAATTCTGCATTGCTAGACCTTTTGGGGTAAAACCCCTTGAGTTGCATTTCCTTGTACGTTTCGTCTCGAGTGTTGTTAGAGGTGTGCAGAGCTGCTGGACAAACTGAAGTCACGAAGGGGGAGAGTGTCCGTATTGAATGCTTGAGGGGTGTAGCCCGTCTCTGCAGACGCTGCGGCGTGATGTCATCAGCCTGTCCTCTCCCCGCGGCTGTGCAGGTGACTTCTCCCAGCTCCGCTCTGGCCTCTACCTCGGTGTCCAGCACTTGTACCACGACGGCGTCCAGCTCTGGCGCGGAGGGAGCCGACGCCCTGCTGCCCGGCCCGGGCAAGACCAGCCCCCTGCCTCCCCAGCTGCTCACCCCCCTACTGGGAAACGGGGTGCTGGGTAAGTACCCCCATCCCGCATGCTCTGGTAAGGATATCCCAAGCACCTGGCAGGGTTCTTAGGTCACCAACAGATCTACAGTGTTTAAAGAACAATTTGTGAACCATGGGATGGCGATTTGATTAATTAATTTAGAGATAACTTCTGCCCCTTCGTGGGGACGTCACATGAGTAGTTGCATTGCCTGGCTCTAGAAGAAGGCACATTAGGGGGACCTATAACACTGCACTGGGGATCTCCCGCTCTAAGGCTGGAATCGCTGCTATAAGATGTGCTGTGGTTGGACTGGTCTGGAGTAGAGGTCTGCTACTTTTCACGTACAACTTCGGCCTCGGGCCGGGTTCGCGTTTGTGGTCTAATAAGTGAAAATGAATTATTACTATTATTAAATGTTTTAAATTTATTTTCATTAGTAGAAATTCGTAACTGTTTTTGCGCGCTCGCCCGTTCTCTCCCTCTCTCGTACGTGTGTAGTGCATAGCAGCCAAGCAAAGCACTGGAAAACCGCGTCTGTGAGGACCGGTCTCCGTGTGTGCATGTGTGTCTACTCGCTCTGAGAGGAAAAGACAGTGACCGGGTTCGGGTTTCAAATTTGGCAGTACCATTCGGGCTCGGTTGGGTCGGGTCTCAAGATCTCGGGTATGGTCCGGGTGTAGGCTTCAATTTAATGCCCGTGCAGAGCTCTAGTCTGGAGATACAGGCCTGAACGCTGCTGCTCCAGTCACAGAGGGACGCTGGATAAAAAGACTGTCCACTAGTCCCTGCAGCTGATGTGTCCAGTCTGGGGACTCTGGACCATGCAGGTTCTGCTTGCAGAAGAGCTGTGCTTTGTTAGTGACGTATCTGGTATTCTGAACATTGCTATACAAGTCTAATATTGTGGGACCTGTTATCTTGGTGATATAGCCAATTAGCTCTGGCCCGAATTATGTGCCAATTCAGCTCTCTGCATGTTCCCTATACACGTCATTGTTTGTAAACAACATTAAGCAATTAATTTTAAATCAAAATGTCTACTTTGAAACATGTAAATATATCATATTTGAAATATGGATTGGCAGACGGTCAGGAGACTGCAAGTTACTGTAATACCAGTCTTCTACAGTGGTAATATTTTAATGTTGTATAAGGACAAAGACTAGACTATGCATCAGCCCAACAATCTGAGTGTAAAATATCTGAATATCCAGATAAATTACAGCATAATGCTTACTCCCAGCAACATTATGCAAACCACATATAAGGCTTATTTCCAGCATCGTCATTTTGAGCATCCTTACAAGACAAAGAAGTAAAGAGAAGCACAAGGGGGAAAATGCAGCAGTAACACCAAGGACCAGTAACACCAAACACCAAGTCATCTGATGCAAATGTTTCTTTTTACATGCCCCATGTCTCACTTAATATAGATAAACCACCCCATCAGTTTCTCAATTAAATCACAGACTTCTGATGACAAATCCAGTCATTATATTTTATAGTTTCCATTCAACTTGCTGATCATCTGGCCAAGTCCTGGGGTCACTTTCAGAAACGATGGTTAGAGAAAAATAATCCTTAGTAATGTGGCCAGCAGCTTTTCCACTTCACCAGCTTAACAATTAGAGACCTTAAAGGGAAGTTAAAACTTCTGCTTTTTGTTCCAACTCCAGCGGTCAACAAAACCATTAACCTAATTATTTTCTTTGACGTACACTGTTTTTTTTTGTTGGATTTGATTTGTTGAGAAAGCGAATGTTTGGAGTAGTGACCAAAACATAACTTTGGAGTCTGGACAGGCGTATTATAATTATACATCAAGAATGAAATAAACTAGAGAAGATGTGTAACTGAGAGCTCGGGTGGAACAGAAACGGGATGACACCAGAACCTCCAGGAACTGGGTTTGCAATACGCGAGTTAGCTAGATCAGTTCCCCTGTAGAATTGTGCCACAGTCTGACTCTTCCAGTTGAACAGCCGATGCTACATTATCTCAAGTACCGATCTGCAAGTGGCCGCATCAGTGTTGGAACTGATCGGAGCAGAGCTGGATTGTCCCTGCAGAAGATGGGTGGGGCTGACTGACGCTGTCTGTGTTGGCAGGTGATCTATCGGCTCTGGGTTCCGGCAGCCTGGCTCTCAATAACCTCCAGGCCATGCTGGGGGCTGGACCTCTGCTGCTGCCCCCACTGCAGGCTCCGACCCTGGGCATGCCACTAATCCAGGGCCAGGCTGCAGGCCTCAACCCCATGGCCTGCTTGCTCAACAGTCTGCAGGTATATCTCTTGCCGTTTTGCTTTTTCTATTATTATGATTACTGATTACAGATATGCTGGTTTTGATTCTTTCTGATGAATATTGATTGTGTCTATGTGTGTATACTGTATATATAATCTTGCTCTGTCCCTGTAGCTCAACATGGGCCCTACTCTTCCTGTGGGGGGTGACAAGCCAATCAACAGCTCTGGCCAAACATCAGACAACACTAGCCCCGCCCCTCTGGAAGAAGCTCCAGCCAATCAGCTAGCCCAGGATTCCCTAACCAACTCAGGCCATGCCCTGGGCTCCCAGCAGCGCTCCGGACCATTGGACCCCTACAGCTCCTTCATGGAAACCATCTACACTTCTTTCCTGCAGGTCACTGGGAAGAAGGCCTCGGATGGGGGCCCCTGTGGGGGGCAGTCAGGGGCCCCGAGTGCCTTACCCCCCTCTCCCAGTCCTTACCCCCAGGTCCCAGGTGATACCATGCCACCCCTTCCCCAGAACAGTGGACCCCCCTCCCTGAGCCCCCGACGTGCCTGTACCCTGCGCAACCAGGACCTGTCCCGTTTAGGGATGGAGGCAGCCCAGTCACCAGCCAGGGGGACCCCCAAGCTGAGTGAGGATGGCTCCACACCCCCTCCCCCGGGGGCTGCCCACAAGGCCGGTGCCGGCGGGGTCCACTGTGACCCTCCCCTGGGCCCGGCCTTCCCCGCGGCCCTGGAAGAAGCCAAGACGGACTCGTCTGCTTGTCCGTACAGCAACGGCGTGCCCCCGGACTGCGCCGGCGAGATGGAGGGCGTCTCCGAGGAGATGTCGGAGAGCCCTCAGGCTCAGGCCATGTACCCCAACCCAGGAGAAGGCATGAATGGGACAGCTCTGTGCCCCAGCACCCAGGAAGGGCACAGTCTGGGACTTGTGGGTGCACAGGAAGTCATGGTAGGTCTTTTTAGTTTTTAAGAAGACAGTGGTTCTCAGTCTAAATACTGTTTTTTGTGAGAATGAACTTCTGAGTTTTTGGTTGTTTTTTCGTGAACCAGCTCTGGTTCTAGAATGCCCTGTGCTGTCTTTGGATTTATATTCCAGCTCTTATGCACCCATATCACCTCATTATTGGCTAAATTGTCTCAAATGTCCAGTTTCTCCCAGCTTATCAGGTTCTTCTGCTTTAAACCCCTATATGTCTGGATACATGTCTAGTTTTCTGTACAGGTGTGCTGCAAACCAAATATTTTTTGGTTTTGATTACTTTTCATGCAAAAAGAAAAAGCCTTGTAGGTATTATACAGGATCCATAGCACTCGGATGGTTGAAGGACATGCAGAGGATGAGGTGGGTTTATTGTCATGACCAGGCACTCTCTCTCTCTCTCACAGGGGCAGGCTGTGCGAACAGGGGGTGCCAGGAGAGGCCGAAAGAGGAAGCAAGCGTGAGTAAAATCACTCTGGTCTCTGTGTCACTGTGTGGCCCAGAGGGATGGGTACCAGTGAGGTACGGGGGACGATACTCTGCTGTCAGGGAGGCCAGTGCCTGCTGTGACAGGACTGGGGAGGGATTACCCACGAGCCTCGCTGTTGCTGCTGGTGTGTACTGTGAGGCACATTAGTGCATTATGGGAAACAATTACTAAATGAGGAATACCAGCCATTGGGGGAAAAAAACAATGGGGTTCACCTTCTTAAACAAGTTGTGGAGAATGTTAAATTAATCCTTGAAATCACGGTCATCAGATCTGAGAACAGCTCTCTGTTTCAGGATTTCTAAACCACTTTGACTTGAGTCCCAGTTTAGGTATTACCCAGTTGGTTGTGCGGGACATTATACATAGATTAGAAAACAATATCTGAATCATTTTCATAGCGGATAATATAAGACTGCCACATTTTTAAGATTTATGAACAGATGCCAACAGTCAGAGCAGTTTTACACAAAGCCATGAGCAGTGTGCCTTGATTCTGGTAAATGGTATTTTCTTTTCCCTCTTACTTAGGACAGGGGAAAGGAAGCTTGATTTCTCTAGACCAGTGGCTAGTGGTTCTCAACCACGAAAGTGCGGCCCGCAACGTCCGACCCCTTTTTAATAAATGACAATTGTTTGCAGTCGATTCCTTCGATTAAAAAAAAAAAAAAAGATCGAGCTCACCGCTCCACTAAGAGTGTGTTTCCATTTCTGAATAGATTCGCTGGTGATCAGATTAATTTTCACTAATCTTTAATTTCATTAAAGTGCTGCACGTAGGCTGTAACATACGTCACTAGAACACACTGAGTGCAAAGACTAGCCCACGCACAGCAGGGCTGCCTGGGCTAGTAGCCTGCTAGTGCGGATTAAAAAAAAAAGAAAAATTGGTAAGTTTGTTTTAAGGGGTGAAAAGTACATGGGCCAGAAGAAGAAAATGTCAATGAAACAAATACAGACAATGCAACGTGCAAACAGAAAAGAGTCGGAGCATCGGCGATGAGGGTGGGAAAGTACTGGAAGAATGGAGGAGCAAATTTGCCGTGATTGATAGAGATGGTTAGCCTTTCTGTTTGCTTTGTAATAAAATTATTGGCGTGTGAAAAACGTACAATGTAAAAAGACATTTTGACACTACTCACAAAGATTTTGACAAGCGATACCCACCAGATTCAAGTGACAGGTCTCTCAAGATAAGTCATCTCGAAAAAAACTGCTCTTGCCACGCAGAAAATCATGCGAGCTACTTTAAAAGCATCCCAGGTGGTGACACTAGCCATGTTCAAAATGCCATGGCTACTCACTAAACATGGCAAACCATTCAGTGATGGTGATATATATATATAGAGAGAGAGAGGTTGGAAAAGTTATGGTGTAGTACACAAGGTTGTTTGAGAAACAGGACGTTTTGGACGGAAGTCCTTCATCAGCTGTGCAAATTCAGAAGCACTTTGCTTATGCATATATATACATGCACATGGTTAATAGCTATTATACGGTTATATATTACTATAATTATATATATGCATTATAGATAATTATAATAGCTATTATGCACACAGATAAGGTAGGCCTAATAGTGATTAATACATGCAGCCCGCGAGACCTGCTTTTAGCCACGGGTGCAGCCCAGTTGATAAAAAGGTTGAGAACCACTGCTCTAGACTGTGCCCTTGCCCATCTTTAATCTTTACCTGCATCAAGGCCAGTTACATAAAGTGGTGGCTTGATTAAACACTTCAAGCAAAAGGAGCAGTTGGCTGGAACACAGCCTTGGAATCGAACAGAAAAAGCAAAGTTGCTGTCATGTCTTAAGAATAGCAGCCTTTTATTAGCATTTATGCTTGCTTTTCTAAAAGTTGATTTTCCTTTCTCTTGTTTCAATGGCCCAGGCTGCAGAAGCTGCCCAGTGACCTGAGGGAGGCAGAAAGTGTGAACACAGGCGATCATGGGACTATGGTGAGAAGCTCACAATCAAAATGCCAGTGTTCACTTTACCACCGACTAACTGGGAGTGCAGAGTGAAACCCTGATTGAATTACCTGTGACTTAAACCAATAACTAGTAGTTCGTCAAGTAATTGAGGTTAATTTGAAATAATACGAGGTGAACCAAGGACCAATGTGCCTCTACAGCTGAAGTAGAGTATTATATAAATTATTATATAAACCCATATCTGAACATGGACATGTTAAAGGCTTGGGAATAGACCAGTTCACAGCAGTGGTTAAAAGTTAATAAATGCAATTAAGACTCCCATTGCATGACATTTTTCACCAGCTCATATTTAATCAGCTATATGCTGTTCTGCATGAGCCATCACCAGCTGTAGGAGGTTTTGTGCTTATGAATTTTCAAAGACAGATGGATAAAATAACAAAAAGATGTGCTCTTCTGTGGAATTGAGCCTGTCTTGTAGAACAATGGAACTGTCATGCATGATGTTTATGATGCTCTGGTTTAATTAATGTTAAGGTTAATATACAATACTTAATACAGTACTCTTTATGGTCATTGCAGGTGGTCCATCAGAAACCAGAGAGATCGGTAAAGAGCAAAAGGAGGAGAGTGATGAGGTAACGTCTTCTGCTGATCAGAAGTCGACCCCAGGCCCTGGCATGCCCACAGTGCCCTGCAGCTGGGCCCATAGGGCAGCCCTTGCCCACAGTTCCTCAGGTTCCTTCCCTGTGCTGCCTGTGCCTCCCTTCTCATGACCTCCGTGTGGCAGGATGACGCTGGCTGTACCCATCCCTCCAGCCCTTCTGTGATCTCATCCAGGCTGCTTCAGGGGTAAAAGAAGATGTTGCTGCTGTTTGAAGAAAAAGCTCCGAGGGTCCCTTTGGTGTGAGGTTTACTTGAATCCTCTCTTTGCTTGTGCTTTCTGAAACTCCGTAAAAGAGTCCCCTGCTTTCTCCTAAACATTACCTCCCCATCTTCTCCACCTCTTTCAACCAATCTGGTCCTGGGCAACGGGCCCAGTGAGCAGTCCTTTCATTCCATCATGAATTAAAGCCATTGAGAGCCTTGCCTCCGTCTGCTGCTCAAAAAGATAGCTTGAGCCACACCGTTCTAGCGACATGGAGCACCATTGTTGAAACATTGCTTTTCAGGATGATGGAGAAGCAGAGGGTGGGGTAGGAGTGGTAGTGAGGAGGATGTTAAAAAGCCTGCGTAAGGCTGGCAAAGGTCTAAGAGAAAAACCTTAAAAGCAATTTCAGAGTGAACCCAACAAGCCGCTGGCATATGAATTAATAATGCTAATCCAGTTATCGGCAAAGCATCTTGGCACTCCCTTATACAAAAGAAGTTTTATTATTCAGTGTTATATTTAATACTGATTTTTTTTTTTAAATAGCACCTGAAGGTTTCAGAAATGTGTGCTTCAGCTGTTTGTGTTGTAGGTGGTAAGATGAGAACGGACAAGACCGTGATGTCTTGGGGTATCAGATGGTGGATGCCAGGGGTCTTGGCCTCAGTTCCTGGAGGGGCCGGTCTTCTGGGTTCTCTTTTGTTCCACCAGCGATCTTGTCATACCATAGGTCAAATAATCTAATTACCTGTAGGACTGTTACGTGTCCAACCTGATACTTTATCGATAACTACTGGTAAAAAAAAATGCATCGTTTCCATAAACAACTGGAAAGGAGTTCTAAGAAAATTTCTATACAGGGCTAAGAGAATGGACTCCTCGGTGTGGGACAAAAGCCTAGGCCTCCCAGAGGCGAGTGTGTGACCCCTAGCATTGGCTGATCTGTGCGCCTTGATGTGGCATGCAGGCCTGGAACGTAGCAGTTTCTCAATAGAGTTGTGTGAGCAGGAGAAGTAGAGTAGATTTATTCTTGGTGTTTTTTGCCAGATTTCTAACCCTGAATTGGACAACTGACTGACGGCGATTTGGAAAACAGGCAACAGTTACTGTATTTAAAGAATGATAATAATAATAATAATAATAATAATAAAGCAAATTATGCAATTTTTACTATTGGATTTTTTGTATATATGTACAGAGTTAGCTTTATCTTTTGGTTTTGTATACTATTAAGACACTGCAATTTTGTCAATTTTTGAAATTTGTAAAATATTTTTCCCTTTTTTAATATTTACATTTTTTTTGTAAAGAAGATACTTTTAAAATTGTGAGCTGTAGCTTTTATATGGGAGTTGACTTTTTTAATTTAACAGATTAAAAAAAAATGTTTACAAAGCAGTTTGTGTGGGTTATTTTTTTAATGGCATCTTCCAAGAAATCTAAATCCCAAACTGCCTCGGGTAATGCACTTTATTTCTGTTCCAGCGGATGTACAGTACAGCACAGGCAGTGCAGTGCCCAGTAAAAGGCCAGGCTCTCATGGTCAGTCTCTGGCTTAGTCATAATAATTATAGCAGTAACACTCCAATGAACATAAAATTAGTTTAAGGTAGACAAGCATATTTACAAGCTGTTTTTCTTCACAAGAATACAAGACCTTGTGCACATTCTGAACTGTCAACACGTACATTTTTCATTTGAGGGGAACAGTCAGCTGAGTTAGGCACCCCCCAAGGAACATAAATCCTTTATTTCAAGCAGTGTTAATTTAGACTGTTACATTTTACTTTAGAACTATTCAATATCCAGTCAACAGCGACTTCAGGCATTGTCTTCTTGAGACTGGCAAAAGTTAAAAACTCAGAACAAACTTAGCTCAGCCCAAACAGTTACTTGAAACATTCTTGGACTGGACCCGGACAAGCACTTTGGACAGTCCCCAACCACTCTATCTATCAGAGCGACCCATTAACGCTAACAGGTAGGATTCAAGGCTACGATTCCCTACCATTTCTGCTGTGCTTAACTTGAGACGTGAATATGGCCCATACATCATCCTCATTAACACTGCTAGTGAGCACATAAAACAAAGAGGCTCCACAAAACGAGCACAGAGCCCCGCTTTTATTAAGTCCACCGACAGAGCTCAGGGGAATATAGCAGTGCAAGCAGGCTCTCGCTTTCATCTCAATCCTGAACCTTGGGATCAAGGGCACATCGCCACAAAGGCTTTGGGTGAACAGAACAGATTCTGCAGTCTTCGAAGGGAGAATTAGTGTATAACGATGTGGTTTGAGCATGAGACTCGTTCAGGGGAGGGGAGTGGGGATTGATTTGGTCTCTTGTGTAGTTGAAATCCGTTTTGCAAACAGCTGAAGTCGAGCAGTGAGAGGGACCCCCTCACCGTTTTATTTAGCAAGTTTCTTCATCCTGGCATCCAGACTGGAAAAGTTCTCCTCCACTGTGATCAGATTCTCCTTCATGGTCTGCTGCACCTGAGCAACGGCAAGAGAGCCTGTTAAAAATCGATATTCACAAGGGCTGTGCCATGAAAGTCACTTGCACAGAGTGTGAGAACATGAAGAGCTTTTATTGATAAAGCACCTTTCCAAACCCAAGGACGCTGTACACAGTGATATAGGAACAAAATGCAGTAAAAAAACAAAACAAAAAACATACAGGATAGAATGTAGGGCAACGAAACATAGGCCCTGGTAAAAACGTGACTTTTGAGTTTAGATTTGAAGAGAACCAAATAACTCAAATGGTGGAGGTAGAGCATTCCATTAACAAAGAGCATCGACAGAAAAGGCACAGTCACCACAAGTCCAAGATTTAGTCCTGCAGACAGTAAGTAAAGGACCAGCTTCAACTGAAAGGAGCCAACAAGAGGGAGTTTAAACATGGAGGAGGTCAGAGATATATGATGGAGCCAGAGTTTTTAAAGCCTTGAAAGTCAATAACAAGATCTTACATCGAATAAATGACTTCATAGGCAACCAGTGAAGAGATTTAAGTGCAGTAGTGATATCCTGCCAGGGTCTGGTGTGAGTTAGAAGTCTAGCTGTAGAGTTTTGGACATACTGCCATATATGGAAAATAGTGTGGCAGTCCATAGAGCAAGCAGCTGCAGAAATCAAACCTTGATGTTATCAATGCACAAATCAAGTACTCAGCATCGGACACTGATTGAAACTGCCTAATGCAGGCAATATTTCCAAGATTAAAAAATGAGGTGAAAAAATTAAATTTTTCACGAGGGGCTCAAAAGACAGCAGAGGATCGAGTGTGACTTTCAGATTCCTGACTATGGCTGACACATGAATGGAGAAGCCATCCATCATTACTGTGAAGTTCTCCAGTCTTATTAGCTGACATTTGCTGCCCCTTTAGCACATGTTTCTGTTTTGTCACTAGCTTAGTTTCAGGGAATTTCATATCAAACACAGCTTGATGTCATGCAAACAAGAGGTAAGTGATGGAGGTAGGAGATCAGAGGGGGAAGAAGCTGCATGGGCCCAAAAGTGGCATTTCAAACTCAGCTCACTGTCACTTGTACAGTGTGACCAAGAGATTGAGCTCTGCCAGGTTAGGGTTGAGATTAGTTAACGCAGAGCCCTGTCCTCTTTCAGTGCAACATCCGACTCCTGCCCTCCTGTCCGTCACTGTGGAGTTTGCAGCAAGTCAGATGACAAACGGCTCTGGAGGTAGGGGTGTCTCAGGAACCGCCAGGTGAAAACAAGGCCTACCATCAAAAAGCCATCACAGGCGACTGAACAGGAAAATGGGTCGCTGTTGCTTTGGAAGTTAAGGAAAGTGGATATAGTGCTGAACCTAGACATGGGTCTGAGTGGAAAAACCCCTGTCCTCTCGCACAGGACCAAGTGATTTAACCTTCTCACAGATCACCAAGGGCCACGTCATTCACCTTTCCTGAATAATGCAACAAGCTCTTCACACACCACCTTATTCCACATTCAACGACGTAAAAGAGAGCTTACCTGAGACAGGAGAGTGGCGTTGTCCTTTAGAGAGTTACTGATCATCTGCTGGGTGGTGTCCAGGTGTGTCAGCAGCTGCCCAAACTGCATAGCTATGAGGGGAGAAGGAACATGTGTTAGTTCTTGCAAGGAGGTGGGACCCCTGTAAGGTCCTTTACAGAGAGAAACTGGGAGAGAGCAGATACACGTTGTCGGCACTCATCATGTGACATTGGACATCACCATACATTCCACAGCTCCAGCATAGGATCAGGAACATCATACCACAAGGACAATTTTTTAAAAAGCCCCCAAAGAAAACCGAAAAACCTGGTGCACAGAGGTATGACACTATCTCACAATCTCATAGCTCTCGCAACTGCAAGATATCTGAGGCTGAAGTCCTTAAGAACAGGTGGAGATTCAGAAATGTCTTCCAGGCAAAGTGTTGTAGAAACACGTAGGTCTAAGTCCAGGCAGTTTAAGCATGTTTACAAAAAATACACTGTGAAAATCCAATTTAAATAAATTACAACTGTAAACTGCAAAAAGGAAAAGAAGAAAGGGACAGAGTTTAGGCATAGGAATGAGGAGAGAGATGAACAACAGTGGTAGTTATGAAACAAAAAAGGATGAAGGCAGTGGTGTAGGGAGATGAAGAAGGATATAGAGAAAAAGACGAGGGAAGAGAAGATTGCTGTACCTTGCTCATGCAGTTCCTTAACTGCAACAAGCCTCTGGACCACTTGTGGAAGTGAGGTTGCGATGGCATCCCACTTCTGAATGACATCATACAACTGAGACACCTACACATACACACAGAGGGACAGTTAGCCTTAACTGGACAAGCTGACCCCCTCTTCATGGGAGTAATAACTTTATGATTTAAAGAGACCTAGAACACCTGGAGAGCTATGGCACTCATGTCCATCACTGGGGTTCCCTGCTTTAAAAAGCATTTCTCGTCCAAAAAGAAATGTTCTTTCTTTACTGGTTACAAAGCATATTCGCAGTCAACGCCACTCCGGACAAAGGTTAAGGCAGCAGGAAGTGCTCGTCAAGTGATGTAATAAAGCAAAATGGTGACCATCATTTTACCACCTGCTAATGGCTGACAGACAAAAAGCCATTGATAAGGATGCAGACAGTCCCACTGTCCAAATGTCTAGGTCTGTCTGCCATCAGCAGAGTTCATTTTGCATGGCCAGTTACCTCAGCTGGCTCCTCTGAATATGGATATGGAATATAACAGATTTTTTTAATTCTGTTTTTAGTTTTTGCTCCATGGTGTGCACACAGCACACTAGAGTGGGTTTCCTGTAGCTGGGGAGTTGTAAGAACAAGGCCCTGCAAAGGAGGTCCACAAAGAACAGAGAAAGATTCCTCGCATGTGGGTGGGAGAAATCAATGATCATTTCCCTTTGTGCAATGCCTCTCATGATCGCCCTGGCTGCTGGACTGTGGGCCAAGCTAGCTGTGGCTCAGCAGCCAGGGGCGTCATCATCAACCTGTCTCCCTCCTCGAGCTGCCCCAGAGACTAGTCACCTGGAGTCTTGGAGCACCTGGACTCAGTTTATGGTCACACCCGTTCCAGGTGCTCCTCAGAATAAATACTCAGACATAACAGAGCCCCGAGCATGACTCTGTCTAAATAATATTGTTTTCAAATCTTTAATCTCACAATGAAATCAATAACCCAATCAATAACTGTGCCTTCTAAGGCACATCTAATGCCTTAAATGAGTCTCCTTCTCTCCAACTCCCCCCCTTCTCTTTCTCTCATTCAAATTTTAATCACCCATCTCCTACTCTGAAAATTAAGTTCTTAAGCTGCAGGAAACCGGAACCAACATCAATCTTTACTCAAAATGCCATGGTTATGCAGCTCTGCACATTGTTCAAAACTGCATTAGTAGAATTTGGAATATCTGATTAAAAAAAAAGTATCTTCCTGTTCTAAAATACCCAACTCACGAGCTTCTGTCCTAACCCTCTTGCAGTGCCCTCCAGACTCCCCCAGCCTCTCTCTACCCCTTTTCAGACTCCTCTCACCTTGGTCTGTGTCTCTGCATCTTCAATTGTTGCCTTATGCTTGGCGATCTCATTCATCTTGCCCAAGACACTCTGTAAGGGACACATACATAGGCATTCTCAGCAGACTTAACATATGTGCATCCAGATTCACAAGACAAATTAAGGCTGAAAACATCAAAACTCATCAAAACTTTTTTAGGGGACACACAACAGATGAGTAGCATCTTCCAAACAGGCCCTAACCCTACACTCTTTATATGGCTAAAATAACTATTTTATCCTTCACAGCAACCATATGGGTGATGCATGGAGGACAGTGTGCAAGAGACTGATGCTCTCAAATTAAAACACTTTTTTCTAATTGAAAATGGGATTAGTCAAGGATGCCGAGTTAAATGTGGAAAGCACTTTTCAAACACAAGCATGCTGCTATATTGAAGCACTATCCTTTAAGTATTTTAATCAAGACGAGCTTCTGTCTCTTCCTGCTGGAGTTACCTGCAGCCTGGCCTCCACCTGGTCCAGTGTGGCCGAGTCCAGACCACTGACTCGCGCTTGCAGCAGCTCAATGGTGTCCTGGAGAGAGGGAGAGAGGAGAGGAGAGAAAAGGAAGAGCGGGGCAAGGGAAGGGAGTGAGAAAGAAAAGGCACGATCATCAGTGAAGAGATGGGGCGATGGGTGAGAGATTGAGACATTTGAACACTATCTGGATGCAACAAATTAAGTCGGAACAGCAGTGAAACAGAACGGCTGCGACTGCAACGAACAGTATTGGTCTGGTCGTTGTCAAACAGAGAGGGCACACTCACCATCAGACTGGCGCCCTGCAGTGCCACTGTCAGAGAACTCTGCAAAATAAGCCCAACAGCCATCAATGCCTGTCACTACAAAACCATCAGTGTGCCCCATGCTCTCAGCTGAACTTGGCACACGCTCAGCTCCAGACTGGCTACTTCTGTAGTTGTTACAATATGGGTATCGTAAACCAGTTTCATGTATTAGGTAGGATAAAACCTAGATGCACTGCATTTTAAATGGCAGGAAGTACAGAAATAGGTGTCTGGTGGTTGTATCTACCATGAACAACAAAAAAAGTTTAAAGTGTTCCATTTGATTGTTTTCACATTTGCATTTTAAATGCAACAGAAGAGGATTTAGGAATACTATGTATTGAGCTCTGAATACCTGTCTCTCCGGGCCAGATCCCACTGCAACCTCGAGCTCCGCAAGACGCTTCTCCAGCTCCAAAATCTCCAAAGAAAGAGAACCAACATAGACTTAGAGGGAGCAGCTAGGTCCACATATGGCTATATTAGAGATAAACGGGGACAGAGAGATATAGTGACAGTAGTTCGATCAGTGAGGGTCCAGGATCCCCAAAACTGTAGAGGCCTAGGACACAGTGCCCAGCATGTGTCAACACATGAAGAAAAAGCAATCGGGGCCACCGACACCCCGCCTCACCTTGGCCGTCTCAGTGAAGCGGTCCTGCTCCGGACGGCTGTGCAGTTCATACACCACTGCCCCCTCCGGTCCCCGCCCTGCCGGCTTCCCCTCCCCGGCCCCTGCTTTGGCCCGGGGCCCCCGCGCCACCTCCAGCTGGACGAGCAGGCGCCTGTGGAGAGATGGACAGTCAGACAGATGAGCATGCCTTCTCTGGTTCCCCTTTTCTTCCCTCAGTGATCTCTCCTCTCCCTTACCCTCCACCCCTCGTTCCCTGACCCCTCTCCCCCCACCCCTTCTTACTGAGTGAGTGCACCATCGGGGTCGGTCAGGGCGATATGGGCGTTTGGACCCAGCAAGCTCTCCAGGTGAGAGGACACCAGCTGCTGCTTCAGCTGGGCAGCCTGCTGGGCCAGGGCTGCTGGGGTGAGACGCTCCTCACTGCTGGACTCTTTGGTGGTGGCCTGAAAGTAGCGGAGAGAGAAGGTTATGAATAAGAGGCGGCCATTCAGCCCATTTTGTTCATCCAGCTGCGTTTAGCAGGATCTAATAGATGTAATGAATCTTGTGCATTTGGCTTCAAGAACGTGGCTGGCAGGTAGCTCCCGACAACCCACTGCCTTTTGTGTAAAGAAGAACCCCCTGATTTTAGTTCCACATGAACTCCCTTTTAGTTTTGACTTGTGCTTTAAAAGGAGAGAGGTGGGGGGGCGGGGCAAGGAAAATGGCGAGGACAAGGGTCAAAATATAGAGATGGGGAAAAAGGAAGAACAGCAGAGGAGGGAGGACAAAAATGTTGTAGAGTTAGCAAGAGGGTGGTGCTCAGGGAGAAGGTGTGGAGAAAATGAAACAGTTATGCAGAAAAGGAGAGAGAGGGGAGGGGAGTGGGGAGAGATGAGGCATGGGTGCGAGAGGCAGGATTTCCCTTAGGAACGCTCCGCAGGGCCCTCCCACCACCTCCCGACCTCTTAGGTCAGCACTCCTTTCGATCAAACAAAGCAAAAGACCTCCCGGCTTCCTTTAGTTATCTGTGAAGAACCCCAGCTTTGGCTGAAGTACAGCATCAAGAAGAAAAACCAGCAATAGGCAGAAACAATGACACCGCTATCCTTGCCATCCTGTGTACTGTGTACAGCCAATCTACGGCAACACCACAGAAAGCAGCTGTAAAAACCAAAAATGCCTCACGTCTCTCACCTTAATCTGTTCCACCTCCTCAGTCAGTTCCTGGATCTCATTAACCAGCCGCTGGTATTTCTGCTGGGGAGTCTCCTTCACCCCTCGTCCCTCCCCCAGCTGGAAAACACCAAATACATCAATACACAAATAGCAGAGTTAACAAGACATGTGTGCACACAATGGACAACCGCACAGCTCCATACTCTATAAAGTACACACACAGACACAGGCTTTTTGATCTTGACAGGACAACTTAGAAATTAGTGTTGTAAAGTATTCTGTACCATCCCAGCAAAGAATTACCCACTGAACTCTGTACAACCCTGAAATACTTCCCCATTTCCAGTCTTAACTGCTTGCTGCAGTTAAGTATAACTGTAATTCCAGAGAAAGCTAAAGCTGACCGGGTTTGATCAATGAGCAAACAGTATAGCCCCCAGCTAGTTAACTTCGACCCCACAAGGCACCAAAGGAGAAGGCAGGTTTCATTCACCAGGTGATGAGATACCTACAATTTCATACTCCCCAGACTCATAGCCAATCCGACGAGTCTTGCTGATACGATCCGAAAAATCTGCAAGAGAAAGCAAAAATTGAGCTTGCTCCACTAGCGTGGCACCGGAGCATCAAACGCTACACTCACTCTGGCAACACTGGCGACTGTGGCTGTGACTCAAGAAGATGAAGATGAAGACGGAGGAGGTAAGAGGCAGGGCAAAGAACTCACCCAAGCCCTTAGTGCTGACCCTCTTGTCCTTGAACTTATCATAGGCAGCATTGGGGTTCACCACAATCCTTTCCACACTGTCACTGCACAGCTCCTCCTGCAAGACAGGCCCCGTTACACCACACTCAGTACACTCAGCACGCGACTGCAGCGTTTCCCCGTGATCCCTCATGAGCAGGGGTGGCTCTGGTCTGCATACACCACGGTGGCAGGCTAAGAGGGAGGACAGTAAGGAAACAGGGCGAAGAATAACTGCTGATTCAATATTGTGTTTGGTACAAAGCCTGTACTTAGTATCTGAAATAGCACTTAAATAGTGGTAGGGAATTTTTGGAGAAGACAAAGTATTTCTCTGCTCTAAAACACTTTTTCACTCAAACCACTGCTATTTATATATGCAGACCTGACCCACACCAATATCCTCAGAGGTCTGGGTTAACCCTGTTTTTTCTGGGTTTTTTTTGTGTGTGCAGCAGAATTCCAGTGCAGCCCTGGAAGGTTTTCGGCACAGTGAAACCAGTACCCACACAAGGCCAGTACATTGGCCCCTTGCCGTTACCAAGCGATACTCGGGCATCATGCCGCTGGTAAGACCAGAAAAGAGCGTTTTTTGGATTGCTTCATCTTAACACAGAGATGCTCCATCAACCAGAGCCAGCCACAGAAAGAGCAAAATAAAAACACTGACATCGCCTTTGTTAAGGAGACGACTGCAGAGAAGATTTCCCACCCCTCCCGAGCACCCACACAGTCAAACATGCTTCCACACAGCACTAATCCCAGCCCACGGCCCATCTCTCTCTCTGCATGGCTAGCGCTGGGATGGAACATCTGCAACACACCTGGAAGCAGGCAACAGCTGGAAGCAGACTGTAGGAGCATGCTCAATTTGTGACATCTTTTTTTGAATCACCCCGATTGTGCAAAATGATTAGAAAAGGGTTGAGCAAGCATCTACGGGCATCTATAATTTTTGCATAATATATAAGGGGATACACATAACCATAAGGAAGCAGACAGGGTTGATCAATTCCTGAAGAACTATTTTCTTAACCCCTTCTTATAAACTCTGTAGATAAGTACTCTATTGTGAAAGGCATCTTAAAATAGCTAAAGATTAACGAGGCATTCACTGCAGTAAAAACAGCTCAGGTAAAGAAAGCCCTCATTGGAAATGAAATAGTTTGCTTGGTATTCAAGCAGATTAAGTTCTGCACAAGACAGTCAGGATCGTGTCAGTGGAGTAAGCTACACTATAATGTCTTTCAATGAATGCACTGCTGAGAAACTGTTTGAAGTCACCAACTGGTAAAGCCAGAAGTGTGATTGGAGCACTCAATCAGTGGAAGTGTTGCAGTCTGAACATCCTGAAAGAACACCACAACACTGGGAATCTCACCTGTGCCCACATCCATTCTTATCAAACCCAGCCAGGAAGGAACTTCACCAGCAATCCCCAAGAGCAGGGCTGTCTCAAGAGAGCTGGGGGTGGGGTTCTGTCTATGACTCATCTATGGTAATTGCTGCTATTATATTCTGAGCAGCCTACATTCCCTTTCGTCTGCATCTCAGCTCAGAAAGGCTGAAACGGGTGCTTCTCTCAGATACTCCCCTCCCCGAAGCACCTTCTACAGCTGCAGAGCCTAGAGCAGTCACATTCACATTTTCTTCTCTTTCCTTCTCTTGCAATGGGAAAGTTAAACCGCTGACATCTGACCCGTCAATGGCTGAGTCTAAAGCCACCTTTATACCAAGTCTTTAGCCTGCAAAGATCTCAAATTAATCAACAAGATCTACAGATGCAGAGATTCTCCAGGACCAAGACAGAAGAGCACAGGAATGACGTTTAATGACAATGTCAAGAAAATCTGACAATCAGGTTTTGTTGTTAGTTTAGACCATTTTCCACTATTTCTTTATTTGCTGAGGTTTTTGTTCCAAATGCACTACAAATGAAAACCACAGGAGCAACCACCACAATACATTTCAATAGGACTTAATATGGACACTTATCCTGGAGAGCACTCATTGCAAACGTCAGCCCTCTCCAGACAGCACTAACAAGCTGTGATGGCAGTCAGCTGGCTACAGTGAAGGCTGGGCTACAAGCTATGACAGGCACAAACAGAATGGCTGCCGTTGTCCATTATCTCTGGTGTTAAGTGGACTATTTTTTTTTAATCAGAGGATGTGGATGTTAAAACTGGGTATTAGTGTTGGAGGAGATCAGTAAAGCAAACTTCCTTCACTAATCAAATGCAGTGGGAGGAGACAGACAGAAAGGGGGAAAGTGACACCCTGGTCTTTTCTAAGAGGAATCTCAGAACAGAGGGTAAAGTATCTCCAGGAAATATTCATCCTAAGGGCAATGTCTCGGAAGAACTGTAAGGAGATAAAACTGTAGAGGACGGGTCTCTAGGTAGTAAGAAAGAGAGGATGATTTCAAATCACATCAGTGCACACACAGACAGATGGATGAACAGACAGGCATTAGCGGGATGGGACAAGGAAGGCTCTTACCAGCTCCTTCGTGTTTTCCATAAAGAGTTAGAGAAAGAGAGGGAGCGAGGCAGGGAAGAGAGAGAAAGAGAGAGAGAGAGACAGAGATTAACACGAAGTTATTGTCACATGCAATGCACCATAGCGGCTGTGGGCCACTGTCCCCTCCTGGCAGGGCGGACTTCATTTGTTCACCCTCATTCACCCCTTTTTATCTTCTCCTGTTAGACTGGGGGGCAGAAAGCAGAGGTAGGTAGAGGGAGGTTTTTATGACCACAACAGCAGCGGGTCATACGCACAATTAGCCTTGGTAAACCCAGAATGCACTGCTCCAACAGTGAGCTGCTTCAGTTCGTTAGCATGGGCTCCCCCGACTCCTTCCAGGCTGCAGGGTCGCCTCTTAATTTGGGTCCACCTTAGAATTTTTACCACACCATTGACTCGAGAGCCTCCGTATTGGCTTTTTTTTCTCTATCTGATCCTGAAGCATATTAAAAGATACCTAAAAAGAGGCAAACAGCCTGTGAGGACCCAAAGCAGCTCACCCATGTTTTTAATCAAGGCAAGCAACAGGGAGCGTGGAGCACTGTGGCAGCAGAAACACACATCCAAAAAAGAGGAAGTTAGTGAGTGTGACTTTCCTAAATTACAGCCGTGTCCCAGACACGCTGTCTGCTCTAGTGCTCAGGGGAAGATCTGAGCACTAACTTCTCAAACACAATCGGCAGTGCTTTAGGAGCACTCAGCACAACGCTGTTCCAATCCACTCTGAGCACCTCCAACTGCTACACTGTACAATCCAATCAGTCACGAGCAGCTTGAAGGCTCAATGCCATAAAGCAGTGCGCTGTGAGTGTGGGGGCGCATTCTGAATAATTCTGGTGTAGGCTTATAATAACGTAAGAAAGGGTACTAAAGAGAGAAGGCCATTCGGCCCACCTAGACTCTTTGTTAATTAGTAGTCAATTGATCTAAGGATCTCATCCAGCAGGTTCTTGTTATATATAGATATATGATGTATAATTTATAGAGCTCAGCACTAAGCAGGACCGCAGGAAGCAGTCTACGCTCATGTGGACAGGACATTGGTTTAAGGTAGTAAGTTGCACTGCACAGCGTGTCCTTCAGTCAGCACGCTGTGGCAACGGCAGGGAATTTCCTCTCCCATGGTGCAGGGACAACAAGACAGCCAGGTCTGTGAAAAAATAAAAGTGAAGCAGCAGCCAGGCAGCTCTCCAGTGATTCCTCCTGTCTGAACACTGACCAGGCCCTGCCCTGCTGGTTGGCGGGACCTGAAAAGAGCACCTTTAGCTGCCAGCCATGCTTCCAGCTTTTCAATCAACTGATTTGACTGAGCCTGTGTTGCCAGGGCAATGGGTGGCCAGTTTCGGGATCTATTTCAACTGTTGTCTTTTCCTTATCATTTCAATATCCATTCTACTGTACATAAAAGTATTAGCTTAATCAGCTATTTCAAAAATTAAAGAGGCCACCCTCCACCACCTTATCAACAGCCAGTACGGAAAGCAATGATTCTGATTCGTGACTCTTCAAAATCAGGCGACCTTTGGATGAAAGCAAAACTCTATTCTGGGACCCACTTCATTATGAAACGCCCAATGAACATACACACAAGAATGGAACAAGAACAGGCAAACCTGATCTTCAACAAACAAATAAATCTGGCATGAAAAATCGGATTACTTAAAAAAATAAATTAAAATAAATCAATTAGTTTGCTGGGCAACACATTCAGAACATCATAGCAATAAGAATTTCAATTGCATGCTGAACAACATTGGCAAGAATGGGAACCACAGAGATCACGTGTGGGAACTGATTACAACCCCAGTCATGCAGTAGTGAAGCAGCTTAAAGGGTCTTACTTGCACAAACTAGCGTCCCAGGAAGGGATTCAAAACAAGTGGGGAGACAGCATGGAACGGGGGAGAACACTATTAGGGTTAGTGTGCATCACACAACAATATTTTAAACACTGAACAAGTACACCAAACAACACATGACCATGCATGGCAAAGTGGGGAGGGGGGGGACATTTCAGAGGCTAAACTTTCCTTTCAAACCATGGGGTTATCACAGTGGGTGGGGCTTTGATTTTACTTCTGCCCAGTCTGTGCACAGCTCAAAACGGTGCTCAACTGCAGTTAATCCCCTGTCTGTTTTTTATAGAATCAAAAACCTGCTAAGCAGAACAGACTACAGGGTTGTGGATTTTCAAATTCAACATATTAAACACAAGTTCGTACACATTCATATAGTATGAGGCATTCCAAAAATGAAACAAATGCTACTGGTTTTGATACTCATTTTGTGCTTTTTTAAAGCCTCTCAGTACATATCTCACAGGGAACATCTTCTAGTGTTTTGGCATCTTTGAAGAACATGCAATCGCTTTAATGTTAATTAGCCCTTGTCTTTCACAAAGCTGGGAAAGGAACATGCCCAATTCACTGGTCAAAGTTAGCTATGCCCTCCTGGTGAGTCTTATAAGGACAAAACACCTGTCAGTGGCTGCTCATCTTGTCATTATACATCTAAAATATATGCAAAAGGTGGAATGATAAGTATGCTGAAACAGTCCTTAAACTGTACCACCACCCTCCAGCATTGTGAAACAAATCCTACTTAATATTAATTTGTACAATATATAAGAAAAAACTATGTTCTAGTGATGAAGGCATAAAGTGCTGCTGTTACAATCAAGTAATGCATACCAAAAGGCATCAAAACAATAGCATTCAGAACACTGTTAATGCCTCTTAATGTTTTAATCAATAGATTAAGCAAAAGGGGGTTCAGGAACATGCAGATGAGTCAGTTGCAAAGCAAGGAGATCCAATTACCTCCTGTTAACAAGCTCTGTTTCTTAACTACAGCAATGAATTGCAACAAAAACATTTGTACTGCTCAAGTTTGATTTTGATAAGCAAACATAGCAGGATCAAAACCAGTGGAAGAGCACAGAATGGCCAGAAACAAAAAGTCAAAACCTGCAAAAATCCCCCCCACTTTATACCTTCATGCAAAACAGCCATTCAGCGCTCCCAAGTGTAACCGTTCCCCTAGAACAGTCGCAGTGCTGCAGCACAGACTGTAGTGCAGAGGGCACACACACTCAATGATCATGCGTCTGTAACACAACTGGAAATCTACATGCCCCTGGGAGCACCAGTCTAGCAAGGCTCCACAGCTATGACACATGGATGCACAAAGACATGAGCACAAAATAAAACAGAAAAAAGGAGGAGTGCCATGGATTTTATTTTATAATACAAAGTCGCCAGCTATGGTTGGCTTGGCGTAAGAAAACAAAGGGATGAAAAAGTTACCATATTTGCAGGGGTCCAAGAATATCTTCAGCAATGTAAAAAATAAATGACTGCAGATCCCAGTGTGTCCCAGCAGACGTTTAACCTCATGTTAGCACATGAGGTCTCAATCCTGCTCCTGGAGGCCCACACACCTGCTGGTGTTTATTCCAACCACTTTCACTTTCACAACCAGAGCCTTAATTTACTAAATAACAATATTTTTTTAACTGTTTGTTTTCAGGCCTAAAACATGCTGAATGTTGCTTTTTAACCATTATGCTTCATAAGTAACACCGAATTCCAAACATGAGCGAAAATAAATCTGCACAGGTTACAATCAGGCTACTTGTCGGTTCAATGTAGGCTTCAGTTCAACAACTAACTTCAGGTAGAAAGCAAACCAGCGGGTAAGGGGGACCTCCAGGATCAAGACTGGGAACCCCTGGGTTTGCAGACCTGCAGGTGCAATTATTTGCCTACCCGAATACACCTAACTATTAAAACGCCTGTTTCCGCCAGGGAGTAAAAAAAAAAAAGCGCGCTATGGCATCTCACAATTGCGACTTTGACTCTCAGAATTACGACTTTATATCTCGCAATGGCGACTTAATTCTGAGTTTTTAAGTCATACTTCTGAGTTTTTAAGTTGCCATTGCGAGATATAAAGTCGCAATTCTGAGATAAAGTCACAATTGCGAGATACCATACTCCCTGGCGGAAATGGGCTTCCATACCAAACTGACCAGTGGTGAAAATCAATTAAATACTTAATGATCAGCTGGAACAATAACGGAGTGGAACGAAGGAACCACACTGGCCTTCCAACAGTGACCAGAAGTGGTTTTCACCTCGGGCCCTGGGGGACTTCAATCTCTTCTGGTTTGACTTCCAAGTTTTTTTCCTAATTAATGTTAAAACCTAATCTCTGCTTGTTTAGACTTGAAACTAAAAAAGGTTCCCTTCAGCGCTATGAAATTTGGATGGGGTTTTAGTGATCCGCATCGGTGCACAGCATCCCAATCTTGGGGTTTCAGAACCCCTCTTACTCAGGGGTGGGGAATAGAAAGCAACAAGACCCCTCAAAACTGAAGGTATCTATAGTGGGAATGTTTGAGACACTGTCATTCTCAGTTTCTCTATTGATCACCTATTAGGAGCTATTCAGACAGAACAAGTGGAGCAAATACTCAATAAATAGGGTTAGAGGAGACCAAAGAGAACCTGTATTTCCTACATTTGTTGGTAGAAAGTAAACCCAAGACCAGGTATTTTTTAAACCAGGGGCTAAGTGCAATTCTACAAGTTTAAAAAGTCTAATTAATCCAGATATTCAATTAAAGAAACTGTTCAGTTTAAATTAAACTTAATGAGGGGCTCGGTACATTTGACAAACCAGAAGAAGGAATGGTCCTCCGGGGTCAGGGTGCAGAACCACTAGACTCACCGATTCAAACTGGGCCTGGTCATCCTCCGGCAGGTCACTGGTCTCGTACACATCGGGCTCGTTGGAGGCCTGGAAAGAACAAGGAAACGCTGTCTGTTTTAATAACCACCCAGCTCCTGCTCCACGGCGATCCTCACACACTGGCGCTAGAGAGTGAAAGCTCTGCAGCTTTCACAAGGAAATTACACCCTCCGTGGGTCACACAGGACAGAACACTGTTATAATACAGACCATTTAAGTCACTCACTCAGTGAAATCATTAAGAGCTCAGGCAGAATAAAATAAGACAAGATCCTGCGGCTCTTCAGGTCAGGAACCAAGGATTTCTGCTGCACAGTAAGCAGTCATCTGTTTTGTCAGGGAGAGGTCATTATGTCATTCCAACAACCTTCTCAAAAGCCCTCTCCTGCACTAACAAACCTGGTGCAGATCAGTCCTGGTTTCAGGTTTCCCCACTGCCTGACAGTAATGGTCATTATAGTCTCTGTTCTCCCCATCTCCAAGAACAGCTGACTTGATATCTCTCTGGTTTATCTGTGAGATTTGCTAGTGAATGGATTTTAATTTTAATTTGTTCTGCATGTTTACATAAACCACTCTAGTGGGGAACAAGCTGTACTACATGTTCAAGATATGATGGGCCTCCTGTATGCGATAACGTAGGTCATCTGCTCTGTGGATCTCATTCCAACAAAGCAGCCAGCCACTTAAATTGAACCTATTTTTGTCTTAATTATTCTCAATGAAAATAGTGTCCTCTGAAGATGCCTGTACTGTAAAGCCTGAAGGACATGGGCTCTCCAGAACCAGGGTAGGAAAGCCAAAGAGCTGCAATGTCTGCCCATTGCCGAAAAACTGTTTTTTTTTTCCCCAAGTCAGTTTTGTAGATTACAAAAAATGAATTCAACGATAACAGTTAAGGTGATGCAGTTCACCCTTTGTCTTGCAACAGGGGGTCCCTATGTTAGTCATGGGGGACCCCCACACCTGCTGGTTTTTGTTCCCTCGCAATGCTCGAGTGAATAACTGAGCCCTACAGCTGACGATATCAGGTTTCATATCAACTCTTGGTTTTCGGCCCCTAATCGCATAGGAGGTTGCCTTTTAAGATCATCAAGAAAGGTAAAAGTTAAAATCTTCCACCTATGAGAAGAAAAAGAAGAAACAAACCTGCAAGGGTTCTAATTAAGCACCTTGATGGCTCAGTTCACGATTCAGTAAAATACAGGGCTCAACTGCAATGAAGCCCAAGACCTGGGGGTCTTCAGTATGGGTATTGAGAACCCTATACTTACAACTGTGGGACAGCCACCTTAACCAACCCTCTCAGATTGCAGTCTAGTATCACTGCTCTCCTGTAATGGACGATCACTGAACAAACATGTACAAGTTTGGCCATCCTGGTCCTGGAATACCAGTATGTCTTCGGGTTTGCACTACAGCTCTCTAAGCTAACCAACTGGTTACAGTCTTCAGTGGATCAACTTATTACTCCCAACTCGTTGGGTGCTTTAGAGAGATTCTGAGCATCTACAGACACTCACTGGGGGCCAGCAGGACCAGGACTGGGGTGACCTGCACTTTCCCACCCCTGTCCCGCCACGACGTCGCTGCTGGGTCTTTTAAAGACGCACTTTCCTGCTGGCCGGACCTCAGCACAGCCAACGCCCAGAAAACAAATCCGCTTTCATCACCAGCAGGCCTGAATGGCTGCAGACAATCACACACAAGACCATTACTACCACCTCGCCGGTGGGCAGATAGGTTTCCCAGGTGTGACCTGACGGTTCTGATGGAACAACGCTTTTCGGCCGTTAAAAACACCATCGGCCCCCATCGCCATCTCCTGAAACTGCCCGGTATTCCCCGGCGCCACGGGTACCCGGTACACCCACTCTGAAAAAATCACCCCCTTACCACTCCCACAGGCGACAACAAAACGGTCGTCTCGATTAACTGAGTCACGACAAACCCAGACAGCGAGTTGGACGCTTCTCGACATTATTCGTCAAGTGTCACTTGTGGGACCCGTGAATCCAGTCTTTCAAACTGGGGTGCGGTTTATAACACAAAATAACAAAGCAACCCGCCTTTTTGGCGAACCCCACCGCCCGTCCGGCACATCTATGGCTTAAAGATCGACCCGCTTTTAGTAGATTAACACTTCATTGTTCTATAAAGGTATACAGCATCCCGTCTTTTTTTTTACTTACAATGCCTGGCAAATTAGCATACTTGGGATCCGCCATTGTTGCTGAGGCTGCAGCGCCAGTAGAGAGAAGACGGTTAAGTGCGGCTTTTAAGGCGACGGCTATTTGCAAGCGAAAGTACAGGGTTTAGGTTTCCCTTCGGTAAAATAATAACAAGGCCTTCGCAACACAATACGCCTTTCTGCTATTTTCCCTGGGTTTGACAGCTCCTAAGGGTAGTCAAAGAGCGAGAAGCCGGTGCTCTCGCGTGATCCTATCTCCGAGACGAGACAAGGATGAGGTAATGCGATACCTCAAGGGATTGTGGGAAGTGTTGTTTGTTTTGTGTACCCTTGCCGAAACACTGTACTGTATCGAGTTTTGTGGCCTTCCGTCAAATCTACGGAAAACACGCGTATTAATCTGTATGGATTTTATTTTTAGTCTCCACAGTTCAAAAACTATCTCTTGGTGGAGCTGATGTTTCAATGTACTTTACAGTATTGTCATGTTTTGTTCGGAATACTTCAAAATTCATTGCTACGATTTTCAAAACCAAAAAAACGTGGTACCAATGTCACATCTGCTTCTGCTGATATGACAGTAATAATATTTACAAACGTTAAATTCATGTCAGTGTTTGTAATTTGTCTGAGGCGTCATCAACTAGCAGACACACACACTCCAATTCAGCGGCCTTAAAACTAAAACCTAATAATCCCGGAAACCACTTAAGAATGGAACATTAAGTTTCAGTGCAGGGACAACTTCAGTATATCTAGAGCAGATTAAGCAGAACAAATGGTCTAATTGTGTCCCCCATTCCAGCCAAAGAATGCTGAATCGTCAGTCCTACAACGTTTATGGCCGTAATGGGACTAAGAATGAATCTGTAAACTTGAATTTCAGCTTTGTTCAGTCTGAAGGGAACAGTACAGTAACCAGTTTCTTGAGAATATTGAAATCCATTTTAATGTCCCGTTTGAATGAAGTCCCAAAACCCTTGGAAATCTAATTTAGAAACACCTCACTTTGCAACACTATATGTTTTAATATTTCTTTAGCTTGTGATTTAGAATATGTACTGTAGTTTATTATCGGGGCTATCACTTCTCTCTATTTCCACTTTTGTTCTCTTTTAGTTACCTTTAACCTCTTATAGCCAGCGGCTCTATCACTCAGTAATTCACAACCCACTGAAGCTCAGCAGGGGTGAGCCTGGTCAGTACCTGGATGAGAGACCTCCTGGGGAAGCTGCTGGAAGAGGTGTTAGTGGGGTCAGTAGGGGGCGCTCACCCTGCAGTCCATGTGGACAATATACTGTGAAAGGGCATCATCCTTCGTATAACACGTAAAACCAGGGTCTTGACTATTTGTGGTCTTTAAAAATCCTCCCCACTGATATCTGATGTGTGGTGAATGTTCTGGCGCACTATGGCTGCCGTCGCATCATCCAGGTAGGGCTGCACACTGGTGGTGGTGGAGGGGAGTCCCCATTACCTGTAAAGCGCTTCGAGTGGAGTGTCCAGAAAAAGCTTATACAAAAGAAGCAAGCAGACATTACGCCGGTTGTCATCATGGCAGCATGTTTTGTATCAATATTCGAACAGGAACCTGCAGAAACCATGAGTCTGAACAGACATCAGACGCTGCTGGGCTCCTCCCTCCCTCCTATTATTCATAGAGAGCTGCCTAGACCTACGTGCCTTTAATGAACTGATTGCATTCTTTTCGCTCGGGAGTGCGATAGCAAGCAACGTGGAAGTGATCAGAGTACAGGCTGCAGGAACTGTGAAAGGGCACGCAGGTGTAAGGAAATGAAATAGAAAGTAAATGTCTCTCCAGCTGCACGGACCGATCGTGGACTCTGGCTCCTCTCTCCTCCTCCCCCCTCCCACTCCTGGTTCTGCCTGACGCCTCCCGGATTCCAGATCGATGCTCGCGCTCCCTGTCCACGTGGGTCGGGTTCCAGGAAGGGAAAGCGCCCAGTCACCACCTCGGGCTGTGACGTCACAGCCGCAGGCTCCTGCAATCGCCCGGACTCGGGGCCGACAGTGGGGGCTCAGGCGTTTGTGTTTTCCAGTGCTGCGTCACCCGCAGCGAGATGTTTGTTTACAGACACAGAAAAGGTTACAAACGCAGGAAGGCTACCCGGACCATGTGGCTCATAGCTTTTTGGTCTCAGATGATTGGGAAGTTGTAGCAAATACCCCGACTTTTCCCCCTAAAATAATGCCTAAAACAAATACTCTCACTCTTATATTAACATGTATTTATTTATTTTAGCCGTTAAAGGAGCAATATTAGGTTGCATCTACCAGTGACAAACAGTCGGGTTGTCCAACTCAGCCCAATAATTAATATAATTAATAACAAAGCACCGGGAATTAATATAATATAATTAATAATAAAGCACCGGGAATTCTGAAAATGCATTCTGTATCATGCACTATACTATCGAATAAAGTGCGGCAATAAGGCCTAACTAGACTGTAGCATGTTGACGGATTTCCAGAAATGTCCGTCCTTTTTCTTTCCCCTCCGTGTCCAAACAACGCTGTGTCCGAACAGCGAAGCGGCGAGGCGCCCCCGTCCCCCCGCGCGGCGCTGAGTGGTGCTGATGCGAGCGCACGGCCGCGCCGGAGAGCCAGGACACGCCCCGCGCCTCATAAAGCGCGGAGTGGCGGTGCTGCTGCAGCGCTATCTTGCCGTAGTGCTCTGCTTGATGTTCTCGGATGGGACTGTAGCGCCAACCTGCTCCGTCTTAGCCCTTTCATAAGCGACATTTTCAAGTCAGACCTGCCAGAATCCGTCCGGGTTTTATTCTTATTAATTACATATTTAAACAAAGGGATTTACGTCGATACCAATATTTATGTCTAGCTGACCAGTACGAAAATCCTGTTTTTAAACGCGGTAGTGCATACACCACGGTGTAGCCTGTTTGCAAAATCTGTAGACAATGCAATAAAGCGCTCGGCTTTCTTTTTTTTATTTTTCGCTTTTCCGATTATATTTTTTCCTGCAGTTCTAAAGGGAATTCGCACCCTCGGACAAAGCCTTTGTCTCCCAGTTTTGTTTTGATTTTAGATCTACCTACAAAAGGCCAGAACACCAGGAAAATTCTTCAGTGTCTCCAAAAGCGCATCCGAATTCGTCACAATGGCCGATGCTTCCACAGAATGCAATATCAAAGTGCTGTGCCGCTTTCGCCCGCTGAATCAAGCCGAGGTCGTGCGAGGAGATAAATTCATCCCGAAATTCAGCGGGGATGACACGGTTATCATTGGGGTAGGTACGCCCTTCCCGGCCTTTTCCTTCTTTTTGCTGCCCGTCATGTTTGTTGTTCAAAGATGACGCCGCCGGGGAGGGTCCGGTGTGCCGTGTTTTGTACCTGCCTGGGAACGGATCTTAAAACCTACAAATAAACAAGTACAGTGCTCCAAAGCCCTGCGATGTTATGGGTTTAAGGTTGAATCATTTGTGCCGGTATCGCTCTGCTGTCTTTACGGGGTTTGTTTTTTTACCTTACGTTCAAGGATTTCGCTTTCTCGATAAGGTTTAGAATGACATTTTATTTGGACTTAGTTTCGCTGCTTCCTCGTTTGTTTGATCTCAGTTGGTGGTATTTTACGCGGATGGGCGGTCAACACGCCAGACCTCGCTGTCCACACCCCAGAACACGGAGGAATATGTTTTTGGCTCCACAAACATCAGTAATTACAGTGCAGCAGCACCCCGGACGTTCGCTGCGGGTCTAAGCTTTTATGAGTGCGCTAGTGTTTACTGAATATTATCCACTGCAGTACGGTAATGAGGGAGTGCGTGACCTGTGCATTTGGGATAACGAAAATATTTGGGGAATTTAACAAGTTTCATGTTTGCATTAGTGTTCTGCATTACGATTCTATACATTTCATTTCTAGAATAATTAACCGCCTCTCTCTCTTAGAATAAAAGCAGCGGAAACAACAGCAGGACGACTTGCCTTGTCAGGAAAGGTCTTTCTGCACTGGGCTGCGAGGCAGTTTAATGTAATCACAGTCGGCGCGCGCCTCGGCGAAACCCGTACCTTCGTACTATCGCATCGATCAAAGTCAAATAAATGTGCAGGGCCAGTCGAGCGCTCAGTTCTGCAATGAAAGGGCACATCTGGGGGAGAATAAAAGCCAGTTTGCTATGCACCTCTAGGTGCAGCAGCGCCTGCTGGGGCACGTGATCATCCACCGGCCCGAGAGGACTCGGGCGAGCAGAATATTCCATTACAATCCCAGCGTATGTCGCCGAGCCTCCCTCGGAAACGTGATTAGTAGCCGCCGGGTCGATAAGATGAAGTGGCATGTTCTTGGGAAAGCTTTTATTAATGGTCGCTTTTCCTGCCATACGAAATCTGTAAACCAGAATTCCATGAATCCCATTCCGTTTTCCCATTGCTTTTAAATCCGCTTAAAATAAATGGTCATTATAGAATGAGAAATAACTATATCCTGTATATAATGGAGATTCGGTAATGACACAGAAATACGGCTGGACAGGTGCGGCGAGGCGCCGCCTGTCGTGAGATGCAGGATGAATAGATGAGTTTTGTTTCATTTACTCGCCGACCTGCGACGATCACCAGCAGCAGGGCTGTCGGCGGCAGGGAAAGCATTAAAGCTTCGTAAAGTTCGGTCAAATGCGTCTGCGTCTAATTTTCTCTTTTTTCACGTACCCCAGCCCTTGAAGACCGCACTCGCTTTCATTTTTCTTTCACGGAATGGGATCACTGCTATCGGCTGTGCGCAGGCACTCGTGTGGCCCCATCAGTGCCTTAGCAAGCAGGGCAGCAGTTCCTCACCTGTGCCGTAGTCCTGCGTCCCTCTTGTTCCCGAGATCTCGTCTCACTCCCCTGATCATGAACCTCATAAGATGGCCAGTCCTGTAAACCTAAACTACCAGCATCACTGCAGAGTGAAAGAGAATTCTATAATATAATAATAATAAACTTTATTTTATATAGCGCCTTTAAAGGTGGGTTCTCAAAGCACTTATACATTTTTTTTAACTTCACAGTCAAATTAAGAGTACATGAAAAATCACACGTTTTTTAGAAATGTATATTTAATGTTGCAGTAAAATGAATACATTCAAAATGACACTTTTTCAAGTTCCACCTTAAGATTTTACCTTAAAATACGTAGGTTTGATCAAACAAAGCCATTGTACTTACTGTAAGTGCTTGTGTTGAAATTGTGTTTTCAATATGTTACCTTCTAAACCAACCTGGCCTGTCTGGCACCCTCAGACCCCCCCCCACCAAGGGGGAATGTGCACCCCAGGATTACAGCCTCCACTGTTGGGGATCCATGTGGTCAGCCTGACAAGAGCAGCATCTCCGCTTCCTGAGAGTCCTGAGCTCCGATTGGCCAGTCAAGCTTCCTCCTGCAGCTCATTGGTTATCTGTGAACAGACCGGGTCTGTCTCTGACCTAATGTCTGCCTTCTGTGTTGTTTGTGTTGTGCTGGTTAATTGGTTCTACAGAGCTAATTACCATTCGTGAGTTGTACTTCCTAAGCACTGAGAGGCTTCCTTCATTGGTTGTTTTGACTTGGAGTACAACATCAAAAACTTTTCCTTGAAGACGTTTGCGGTGTGCAGCCTGAGCTCACTTTGTGGCTGTTGTGTTGTGCTCACAAGCGGATCCTCAGAGCTGTTTGCCCTTAGATCTGCACCAGCCCAGCTGGGAATGAAACAGAGGAGGAGAGAAGTAAAAATGCTTTTCAATCCAACTTAGCTTTGTAGCTTCGTAAGGATATTTTCTTTTTTTTTTTGTCTTGGGGTGGGGCAGAGCAATCTGTGCACTGCAGGGAAAAAGCACTTTAAAAGTGGTTTCTGTATGTTGATTGTTGGACAACAAACATACAGAAGCTGGGTGCTGTTAGTGCAGTGCTTAGTTATCGGTGGTCTTGAGGATTACTGTCTGTAGAGCTAAATAACATTGGAATCATCCATTTACACTGTGCTTCTGGGATGCAATGCTGATAAAGGCACAAGACACACCATTCCTCATTTTAGAGAGGCTGTAAAATACGGGGCTTGGCTGCCACTCTTCTACACTCTCTGCGGACTTGAAGGGCTTATCCAGTACTGCACTCTGCAACCAGCACAGCCCATACTGGGACTGGCTATACCACACAAACCATGCAAAGGAACAGGCACAGTCAGCGACAATTGCAAGCAATCTGATGCATACTCGCCCTTGCAGGATGTTGATATTTAACCCACAGACGTTAAGGTGTTCTGGGAAAACTGGACCAATCGATTTGTTGTTGGGTTTTTTTTTTAGGTTTGTGCACATTTTAATATGACAGAGCTGTCTTATCAGATCGAAATTCTCAGTCTGATAAAGAAGCTTTATTGCATGTATATGCGTTGAGATGCACCATGTTTTAGTACTATCTTACAGCTGTGGGTTGGGTTGCCCTTTATGAGCAGGTACAGTTTTAAACTCTCAAGCTGCGTTTCTCTACAGAAACACACTGTAAGGATTTGCTTTCTCCTGCAGCGTCGTACGCAGGTGATGATGATCCCATTGCTCTCAAGAGCCTGTATATTGCAAAGTGTCTCAGGGTGACTTACACTGCTGCACCTGCCCGGCACTCTCCACTGCCTCCTCCGGGGAGGCGTCACCATGGTGATGAGGCATGCTCTGAGCCCCTCAGTGTGCCTGGGCCATAAGAGACGCGCGCCTTCTTTGATAAACACACACAAAGACACATCCACACAGTCCCTCCTGGTCTCACGCAGGCGTACCGCACGGCTAAGTCCACTCACAGCCAGCCAGGTATGCAGACGCAGCTCCGACGAATTACAGATGGGGCAGTGGGGCCAGATCTGCAGCAAAGGCTGAGCTGTGCATATCTGTGGCTGAGCTAGAACAGAGAGCCAGAGGCAGGCTGGGAGGCACTGATGAGTGGCCCCTGCTGTCCTTTGGCTGAAAGCAGTGTGTTAACCCTCAGCGACTCCATCACTCAGTCAGTCACAGCCTGGCCTAACCGGCCTGCATTGCTGTAGTGCAGAGAGCGGGAGGGGGGCTGGGGGCCCTTGAACAGGCAGGAGCGGACATGCGAGACGGGCCCTGGAGGGGGGCTGCTTGTGCCCAGACTGTGGCACCCGCAAGCCAACAGCGCAGGCCCTCTCCCTGAGCCTTCATTCCAGGAAACGTCTATACTGTTCCCCGCATGGGTTGTGGCCACTGTATTGAAAGCTCAGCTGCAGACACAATTGCAGACGCTATTAAATTTAATGGATGCATAAAACGTTCATCTCTGCATAACAACACTGTACGACTTCATCCACTTTCAGACGAGGTGTTAAACCGACATCCTGAATCCCTAGAGGCAGTGTTCATAGAAGTAGGAGTGAGGACCATGCATAGGCTGCATGATAGTCAGTTCCGTCCCTATAGAATATAGAATGCACCGTTATAGCTCCTCTGTTCTCTTGTCGTAGATTTCATGCATTATTAATGAAATCTGGCCTCCCGTGCTGCGAGATGTGATTGTCTGCCTCCTTATTTGTTTCGCAGGGACGTTGTCTTCAGCATTAATTCTGTTTCAGTGATATTTAGGTTCGGCGTAGCTGTGTGCAGCTCACATGATCTTGGGAGATGCTCTGGGTTGTGCTGCAGAATAGCCACCACTGGTGGAAACTGCTGCATCAGCATGCCCTGTTCTTATTGTTATAACGCCGAGCGCCGAAAGCAGATCTTATGACCTCTGCATATTTTTAGTCCTCCAGAAAACAGAGGCCCTGTGTGCCAGTCAGTTGCCCAGACCCCCAAAGCAAGCTTCTCCTGGGCAGCTGGCTATACTGGCATGCAGATGTGTGGCAGGAGCCCTGGACTAGATGTTGAATTCCTTAAAGGAACACCTCCAGCCAAGCCACCCCTGTCAAACAACAGAAATACAGGAGAGTGACAACTGCAGCGACACTGATGTGCCCTTGGTTTGCTTTGTTTAATAAGAATTGCCTGCTGACAGTGATGTGGGCAATTTTTTTTACCACGATGGAACTGGGGTTGGATACTGCAAAGAGGCTCAACTACCTATAATCCTGGTAACGAGCCAACAAGACCTGATGTTGGCAATCTGTGGTAGCAGCAGCTGGCTCTCAGCAGTGAAGGCAGGGTTGGTTCCGCTGCTGTGAAAAACCATTTTGTAGTGTTTTGCAGTAGTCAGGGTCATAGACTTGCACCTGGAAGGATGTGGGTTCATATCCCAGGTGAGGCACTGCTGTTGTAACCTTGAGCAAAGCACCCCACCTGAACTGCTCCAGTAAAACACTCAGCAAATTAGTAATGAATTAAAAAAAAACTTAATTTGGATTCTGTTCACTGAGATGAGCAAACAACAATCAATCTGAGAGAGTTTAATGCCTTTATTACTGTCTTTCAAAACAAGAACAGCAGAATCCTTCTATGTGTGCCTCAACACTGGTGGAAGGGTTAGAGAAATCCTGAAAGACTGAGGTAGCTTCTAGAGTACTTCAATCATGTCATATGTGTCTTTGTGTTGGCATTTGTCATACGCTGGCCCGGACAGCATGGCTCTTTGGATATAGTGCCTTCCTCTCAGAAAGTGACCTGGTATATGACTACAGCTCCACGCTGGTTGTGGGCACTTTAAGAGTTCACATCCATAGCAAGAGATATAAGTACAATCACTAACATGTTCATAGGAATTAAAACACTCTCTGCCCTCAGCCAAAATAGAGTATAGAGAAAGTATAAAGTATAAAGTATAAAGAAAGGCTTTAATAATTAATTCCAGAACTTGTGTTTTTGTGACGCAAGTTAAGAAATAAAACGTTCTTCCCATTGCCTAGGGGAAAAAAAAATGAAAGCAACACAAGTTCGATCGTGTTGAGTTGGTAAGACGTCTTGTTTACCACCTCAATCAGCATTCAAAAGGCTCGTCCAGGCTGCAGAGGGAGGGCGGTAGACGTTGATCATGATGCACGGCTTGCTTTTATCTTTTAATCAAGAGAAGAAACCACTTGAGCCTTGGAAGACTCTGAGCTTCGGCGGCTCAAAGGCGGTCAGGCGAACAAAAAAGGAAAAAGAGGAAGAGGAAGGAAAAGGACCTGAAGTCTGGCCTTCCTCCCGCAGTATCGTTCGCTGCCAAAGGCTCGATACTCAGCTTTTGTAACCCTCAGTGGCTCCAGCTGGCCGCGCCCAGACCTGTCCTGCAGCCCTGGTCAGTTCTGCAGCTGAAATTGTTCACTGCATTTAAGAGCGGGTTAAGGTTCAATCTGCTGTTGGCGTGGGTGAGTGGGACGTAGGCTTCGACTGAAAGCGCAGCTGACGAGCGTAAAAGGAGCAGTGCAGGTCAATGAGGAGAACGAGGGCAGCAGCAGACAGGCATGGACGGGCGGAGATCAGGAAGAGTCATGCTGAGATCATGCCCGTGCGAACACGCACACTGTTGTGGGTGTGTTGTACATGCTAGTGGGTCACTGTATATGTCAGTACATGCACAGCACCCTGATTGCTTATTTGAGTGTGTGATATCGGTTAGGGCTAATGCCAGCAACGTGTCGTGGGGGCTGACATTTTCTAGACATGTTTTTCACCTGCTTGAGTGAGCAGGGAGGGATCTTTGGGGGTCCACATGGCCACAGGCCTTTTGTTTTCCAGGGGGGGAGGTGAGGGGAGGTTTTACGTCTTATCAGCTCATGCAATATTGCCAAACGTTTAAAATGGGGGCGGCTTTTCCTTTGCCTCATGGCAAGAGCTGCCTGTCTCGTCGGCTCTCTGTGCGTACGTGCATGCATGCATGACTCCGAGCAGCGAGCTTTGCTGTGCATGCCTTGTCACACATCCATCACCACGCTGCACGTTGGCGGCCCACTCAGAATCCCCTTCCTGATGATTCCCGACCGGAGACGCAGATCTGGAGAATTTCCTAGTGACCACAGAACAGGCCTCTCAATCCCACCAACCGGCCCATGGGCAGGTTCTGTTTACATAGGCACGGGTCTACACGTCAATATAGCAGGTGGAGAAGAAGCAGTCAGGAACGCAATCTGGAAGAAAATGATGTTGCAAGGTGACCTTGACAGGGTATGGGCTGCTCTCGTTCAAGATCATCTCACAGGCCCAGCTCTGGCATTTCTCTCCCACCTCTCTTTCACAGATATTCCCAAGCAGGGACTGCACACGCCGTAGACACAGTGACGCAGTGTTCCCCACAATCCCTGTCTTATAATCTCATACCCAAACCTGCCTTTCTGCACTCTGTGCGCCGTGAGCTATCATGAGGCGCTGAGCGCAGAGACGGGGCTTGCTCTCATTCCAGCGGCACTGTCCAGCAGAATCTGAGGCTCAGTGGCCATTTGTGTAACTCAATTGAAACTGAATTTCCTCTCCGCTTTTCCTTGAAGCTTAAAAGCTGGAGGTCCAAGCTGGGTGTGTTTCAGCACTGCGGTGCCAGGCAGTGTGCGCGTCACCTGGTCAGTGCTAAGCACGTTGAAAATCATACTGGGAGACCAAGTCTCTCCAAAGTGTAATATTTAATAACATGACATTTGATTCAGTTGGCACTGGGACTCCTTCTCTCCAGATTCCTGGAAGGTTTATACTGGACTAACGACAGAAAGAAAGAAAAATCACAATGACTTAATAAATCATACGGTAAACATGCTGTGCTGTGTAAAACGTTTGCCCACACAGAGGTTTGCAGAGCCTTAACAGATGAAAAAACGAGATAAATCTAATCAAGCAGCCTGTCCCCAAGCTCAAGCTGGATTTTTAATCTATTTTTACACTTGCTTACAGTGATGTATGGAGGAGAGTTGTTTGTGATATTTCTGTTCTTTTCTTTCGTTTAAAATGCCGGGAAGTGGCCTTTAAAATCACAGTGCCGTTCCCAGGCAGGCTGTCACGCAAGAGTACCCCTGGGGGATCAACATGCTCCCAGGTTTCAAGAGTGAGTCTCTCGACCCACGATTCTGTGTAGATGCAGATCCCAGGCCGAGACCAAAAGCTGGGCTGTCCTGTTAACCCTGCACTACCTGAGCCGATCGGAGATCGATGAGTCAGGAGGCTGGGAAACGAGCAGCAGTCGCGCTTCAGAGAATTCTGCTGCTCCAGTGTCAGGCATCAATACCAATTTTCCAGGCGTGCGCTGTCAGACTGACCCACACAGCATCTCACTCGCTGGGCAGGAGATAAGAGCCAAAAGAGTATTAAATCATATTACTGTATATAGAAAATGGCAAATCTGATCACCCTGGAATTAAGGTCGAGATGGATAAGGCATACAGTGATGTGAAAAAAAAGTACACCCCCTTACGATTCAATGGTTTTACTTATTAAGACATATCTGACCTTCATCTAGTCCTCACCAAGTCCTAACAGTAGATGAAACTAATCTCATGTGACAAGAAACACATACAAATTTTACTTTGTCGATATTTATTAAACAAAAAAAAATCAGCCAACTTTCAGTAGCCTTGTGTGAAAAAGTAAGTACTGATTCCATATCAGTTAAGAAGGTAATTAGAATCAGGTGCTGCTAAACAAGGGCACATGATTAATTGATCAAACCATAGAATATTACAAGGGTGTACTTACTTTTCTCACACCACTGTATGTTTATGTTGTACAAATGTACTCTCATCCCAGAACAGAGAGGCCCAGCCTTCCTTGCTTCTTTTTTATGAACCAGCTGTGAGCAATTTGAAGTGGATATATTTATAATCCAAGAGGTAACAGTTATTCAGTGTAAGTAAACCTAGGAGAGCAGGTAGGCCAGGACAGGCTCTCGAGCAGAGAAGGCGTGGGTGAGAGGTGGGGGGAGGCTGTAGACAGAGGGAGAGAGATCAAGCCTTATTGCTTTCCCACCTGGAAGACGATGCTGCGATGCACAGAAATGGAAACTTCCATTTCCACTCCCACATAGGTACAGTATGTCAGGCTTCAGTGCAGGAAGAGTTTGGCATTGACAGTGACTGGAAATGCAAGAAGAGCTTTATAAACAGACCTCCATAAGACCATCGCCAACCTAGCAGGAAAAAAAAGAACAAGGGATTCATAAGAATGGCAGGTACTTTTTTAAGCGTGTGGGCCTGCAAATGTGGAGGAAGACACTGAAATATGGCATACAGGCTCTACACCGTGGGCTGTGCCAGCAGATTTGTGCAACAGGGGACTCTGCGCTGTGCTTTTAAAAAGCCTAAGAGCAGGATTAGCTCTCCAGCATGGAGTGGCAGTAGCCCCATTCTTTGTTATCTTAATCTAATAAAGCTGCTCAGAATGATTCGCCACTTACCGTGCCTGGTGCGTGTGTAATGGGTCTCATTGTTCCCCCTTGGCTGACGTGCAGTCGTGCTCTGTTTCAGCAGCAGGTCGGGGAGGTGGGCTGGGGGGAGAGGAGGGTGTGGGGCCTCTTGTGTCCCCTTCAGGTGCACTGCCCCTACCCTCAAACATCAGTCTGATCCCTGCTTCTGCACTCAGTTTAGGATTCAAATGGTTATTGTTAATTTCAAGTTTGTGTTGCCACCTAGAAGACAAGAGCACTGAGGCCTTACTGAAGGGTCGGGATGGACAGTGCTTTTTTCATTTCCTGCAGGTGCACACTGCAGGATTTGTGTTTAGCACGACTGCACACGCAGCCTTATCTAAACCGGGTTTGGCCCTTGGTGTCTGCTCTGACTTCAATAGCTGTGGTTCAAGCCAGCGAATTGCCATCTCATCCAGGTCTACGGGTTTTTATTCTTCAACAAATCAGACTTTTCTTTTCTTCCTGTATTTATAGGAACTGTAAAATGGCTGTCCTGTTTGGTGCTCTTCCAGTACCGTATAGGAAAGCAAAACAAAAATTTCAGTTTGTCCTGTCTGCGCCTGGCATGCATTTGGGGTCTCAGAGAATCTCTTCACACCAATTGGACACCATTGTTTCCCTCCACCACCCCCCCAGCTTCAAGGACAATTCTATTACTTTTTTATAGTTACATTAATTCTTACATTCATTCCATTAATTCCATTCATTTTCCTCTCTCCCCCACATTTAATTTCCCTCTTTGATACGATAATTAGTGGGAGCTGCATTCCAATATTATGGGCAAAAGACAAGAGGGAGGACAAAAGGTGATGGAAAAAAATGATTAGTGGAATTGAAAAAAGAGGAAAAATCACCTACATTACTATTGAGATCCGGTGCCATTTACATATTCTTCTAATGGACACCATTAAGACTGGATGGAGCAGAGTTTGAATTAGCAGCGACATGGCACTCTCAAGTAAAAAAACAAAAGGAAATACCTACCCTGCCTGGATTGTGAAGGTTACTGCTATCAGCAATTGTCGCTTTAAAACTGGCAATTTGTCAGCCTCTGTTCATCCATGCTAAGTGCTGCATTCCTGAGATTGCAAATCATAATAGGCATTTTGTATTCATCCCGTGCAAAAGACCATCTGAATGCACCAATTCCTGCTTCGGAATTTATGGCTGCTAGCTGAACATCACTTTACGCCACCTTACCGATTATTCTGCTTTCTACTGGAATTAAAATATTTACCCAAGACTGTGATTCTTTTCTGAATTCTGCTGGCTAAAAAATGACTTGGATTTCTGAGGATTTGGTTTTTTTTTGTGTGTGTCACTGTCACTAGTCACTCTGTGTTTGGAGTCTTGACACAAATGAAGTATCTATAGTATGTTCCAAAATTTCGAAAATTAGTCATTTACAATTAGCAACTACAGGTCAAAAACCATTTCAACAAACATCAGTCACTTGTGGGTTGTGTAGGATTTTAATTCTTGCTTGCCTGCAGTTCCAAGACGTCTGGTTCCACTGGTCTCCATCCTTACCACTGAGTCAGAAACATCAGTGCAGTACAAAACGATGTTTAAGAGGTTTTTCAAAGTCAATGGCTAACAATCATATTAAACCAAACTGAACCATTGAGGCAACAATTGATTCAATATTGTAGTTGAGAGGTGAGGCAGAAGATCAAAAAACAAGGTCTCTAAAATAAAAGTTTGACTCTCCTGTCTTACAGAAAAAAAAACTCAGCTTAGGTTTGCCTGCCTAGACTCAAGCAGAAATGTTTCTTTTTTTCCTCATCCTAAACCCATTGCTGTACCAAGGACCAAGCACTGTAGGTTGCGGGAGACAACTGGCAGCTTTGCAAAGCTTTTTATTTCCTCTTGAATAATTGAACAGACTTGCAAGTGGGCACAACAGTCACGCGTGAGTCAGTCTAATTCCCCTGGGCCTTGTAGACACGAAGCACAGCGGTCAAACACTGTAGGACACCATGAAGCAGAGAGGCAGCAGCGTTGTCTCACCGTCACCCAGAACAGAGCTGTGCTTCTAACGCTAACCTGAAATCACAAAGCCGTTCGGCGCTCCAGCTGTTGTGACTGGGGCTGCCAGTCTGTCAAATAGATTCAGTAAATTCGGTAAAAAAAAACACCTATTTAGTTACAGCATCTAAGAGTATAACTAATACAGATGTACTCTTAATTCTGATTTCCAAATGTAACCTCCTGCCACTCTCTACATTACAAACCGGCTGCGCTGGTCATTTTGAGATGTCATGGTCTATCGCCCTTGCTTGTGGTTTCTCTGTTACAAGCCCCACCACAGGCTTAACTCTATGCCTGTCTGTCACGTTCGAACCTGCTGCACTGAGCACGACTGTTGTCGGGCAGTTTTGCTCAGCTTATTCCTGTAACACCCTGCGGCGTTTTTGTCATGACCTCCCCCCACCTCCTTCCCCGGTGCAAACAGCCTCGCACTCCCTCATAAACAATTTATATAAATAAATAAAGGCACGACATAAATCTCCGCAGGGTGAGCCGCCTCATTCCGCCTCACTGCAGCGGCTCTCCGATCGGAGATGATGCGCTGGGGCAGAGTGCCTCTTTGCAGTCCCAGCTCGTTCCTCTCTCTGTCATGCAGGAGTCACGGAGTGCCGCAGAGTGGCCCGCGCTCTGGCCCGGGACGGTCCCGCGTGACACGTATCGCGGGGCACATCGATCTTTCTGTCAGTCCGGTGTCCAGCGGAGTGGCACTTGAAGAGAAATCTTCAGGGTTCGCCATTAGCAGAGATGTGCTTGGGCCTGCTTCTGCTAAGCCTCCGTCCTCTCGGAATAGAAACATGAAACAGCATGATGGATTAAAAAGGCGGTAGGATGCAAAGGTGATTGATGCTTCCACCTGTGTGGTGAGGTTAAGTAGCTCTCTGTGCTCGTTGTTTTCATAGATTTCAAAGTTTTCCTTCCTCTGTGTTTCCCATTCTCTAATAATAATAATAATAATAATAATAATAATAATAATAATAATAATAATTATTATTATTATGCCTTACATTTATATAGTGCTTTTCTGGACACTCCACTCAAAGCGCTTAACAGGTAATGGGGACTCCCCTCCACCACCACCAGTGTGTGGTTCCAAATTGTGCCAGTACGCTTAGGAGAAATCAGACAGGAGCCCAGTTTTGCTTGTGTGATTTTCTCTCAGGACGAAGACTGCAGGTCTGCGTTAATAAGAAGTTAAAGCAATTGCAGACATCATTTTAAAATGCCAGCTTGATTACATCTTAGATCATCTTTTGGAGACAAATACAATATGAAGACGTCGCTAAAATCTTTACAGTTCCTGGGCTTCCAACAGTGTTTTCCTTCTCGAAACATGACAGCTGCAGCATGAAAGTGAAGAGTGATCTGCCACTTCCAGCCCTCCTGCACGTCTGTTAAACAAGCAGCAGGGGCTAATCAGAGTCCTGTCCTGGGTAGAAGACACTGCAGGAAGGACAGCTTGTGTCAGAAACAGCGGCTGGATTAGTACAGCTCAGTCCCTGACATGCAATCTCGTCTCCCTGACATGCACGCAAAAGAAGATTTCCCTGATATGAAACTGTAGACAATCCAAACTTCTGCCTCTGCATTCGGAATCTCCAGAGCGCCCCAGGGTTTCGAGATTTTGTGGCTTTATGTAGCTCAGATCTCTCCATCATGATAGTCCGGCATGATCGTGTGTGCCTTCCTGTCTGTGTCGGTCCACAGGAATTCAAAGACACCTGCGCTCGAGAGACACCGGAAGCCAAGATTAACGTTAGACTGGATTGACACATTCCCCCAGCACTCAGCTAATCGACCAATCGCTGTCTCATCTCTCCATTCATTTCCACATTGCTGCCGGATTGAAATGAATCTGTCCCTCACATTTCCAGTTAATTATTATGGTTTTACTCCACATCCCCAAACTACCCATCCTCACCTCTGTCCTCTTTGGTTTGCTTCTTCCCACCTTTCTGACATATCTCTGCTCCCTCACCTGTATGTAAGCTTTCCTACGTACCTCCGTTACCTGGAGACTAGCTGGACTATATATGCAGAACCTCAGACAAGAGATACAGCCACTCTTCTGATGTATGTAAATCTTGTAGTGTGTGTTTTAATTTGTTGCGCATCTGACAGCAAGACTGCCGCTGAAAACTGTCAATACAATATCGGTAGCTTCCTGTAGCCACCTTGTTTGACAGTGTCAGTGT